GAAGGATTATTGCAATGAGTTTCCTTATTTGCTCTGGGAAAGAATGTAACGCTGCCTCTGCTAATGTAATATTCAGTGGTCGATCATCTTCCAATAATCCTAGCCTTTGGCAAGCTTTTCTATAGATTTGGCATACTACTCCATCTACAGAATTCAGAGCAGTGAAAGACACAGGTCCTTGAACTGCAGGAAGCAACATTCAAAGATAAAAACATTCAGTGTTATTTGGGTGAACAGTGTAAATACAACCCAAGGTTTAGCTGGCAGCTCCTGCCGCATCATACACGGAAACTGGTACTCCTTGTTTTCTTTTTGAGAACATTTTCCTGGATGGATTCCAAGTGTAATATGGTAGAACCTCTGGATAAAACGTCTTTGCAAATTGGTTTTGTTGACACAATTGAAAAAAGGGCTGTCAACGTCGCTTTTGGTGGATTAGCAGCTGTCCAAGCGTTTTCACTTGTAAAGTGCATCATATGGGCTGTTCTGTAAATGAACGCTAAGGTGAACAACTGATTGGTGGCATTCATGGATCGGGAATCTAAACATGCGCCAAACTGTTTTATTACTACTGATATACCTTCCCAGCTGGTACTGTGATACATTATCAGTGGTATTTTCAATGGACAGTCCAAAAGCGCCATGTCACTTCCCTTGTTAACAGATGTACCTAATGGATTCAACAGAATTACAATATTCAAATTGAATGTTGGCCTGGGAAAAATTAGATAAGAGTGGACAGTATGGAACAACCCATCTGTTTCTGTGTTGCCGTTAAGTTTCAATCTTCATGTGAATCCTCCATCTTCTGGACTTCTTCTTCATAATAGGGATAACCATCTTCTCCTGTTTTTGTTACTTTTATTACTTTATGCAGCACCTTCGTACATGGTCCATTATGATTTAGATCTCCACAAGGACTATCAACAAAGTGTGTTTCTTCACCACTCCATAAAGGTTCAGGTCTTTTTGTGGATTTGGGAAGTCTGCAGATATTCTATTTTAGTTGGACATGTTTGTTCTTTGAGCCAAATTAAATCACTATTGCTGGATATCTGCCCAATGAAAGTTCTTTTCTTCTGACCAAGCACGATCATGTGTACCTTTAATAAGTCATGACATGGATAAGTATAAACTCTGACATATAACATGGCATCTTGTGCATATTCATGTACATGCTTTGGGCTTCCTGTGAAAGTGGCAGGAAGAATGATAACTTTGCCAATGTCATCTACATTGATGATGATTGATTACTTCAGGGTTCCTGCACCATTTCTAAAAATAAATTCCAGGAGTTTTCCAGGAGAAAACACAAAATTTCAGGACATTTATACCGGTATAAATTTTAAAAATCTAAACGTATAAAATAAATTTGTAGTAACTGGACATAAATGCACTAGCATAGTACTTACTCCATGGACTGCTGAAGCAATTATTTGTATTAATCACTTTGAATCAGGCAGCATAGATACGCTGTACCCATTTACACACACAAATTTTATATGCTCTTGATGTTTAAAAAATAATCCAGTGAATCAGCATAGTTCCAATGATTAAAGTAGGAGCCAATAGACTGAGTAATAAATTCTGCCTGGTACACAACTTTGAGGCTATTGTCAAATAAAATAAATTAATTCAGCACAGTTCTATTTGATACAAGTATGAGCAAAAATGTTCAACTAAATCACAGATTTTAAAGTTATAGTCCGCCTATTTCTTTAACTTCTGACTCTATTTCTTCAGTCAACCTTTTTACTGCTTCCATTTTTCTTTTGCTGACCATCGCAAAGCGTTCGACTCAATCAAAAATTTGTGTGAATTAGTGTTCTCTGCCTTTTCAGCCAGTTTATCTGCCGAGTCTGAGCAAAGAAATGTCTTTCTCCATCCTTTCACTTCTTACTCTTTAAAGTTTCATGCAAGGAAAATTCATCGTCCAGCTTTCTTTTAAGATTACTTTTCTTCTCCTCTTCTGCTAGTTCTTCTAAGTGCGCTCTATATTTTGATCTGGTACTAGCTGCAGCCATCAGCATACTGCTTGTGATGGTAAGATTTTCAAGCCCTTGGATGCTTACCAAATAGTCACAAATGACTCTCTTAGCAGTAAGGGTCCTCTCAATCATATTTTTTGTCGTCTCCTTGTTGACACTAAACCCATGTTCAACTTGTGCCCGACTGTGAGACAGCAAACGAAGAGAGTGCATCACCTTCCACATGGCTCAATATTCTGGTTTGCTCCCTAAATGCTCAGAATAGAAAATATCGAGAAGTTGAGAATTAGTTTCAAAATTCTGGAAGGCAATATAGAGTGCTCAGAGACAACTGTGGTGTGCCATTGAATAAATTGTGACTTTATGTTGTCACACAAATTTGCATCAATACGTTTCAGGGAGACCAGATATCCTAGAGTTATATCAAGCAGATTGAGACAGCTGGTGTAGTCTTCTACAAGTGCTTTGGGCTGCATCCATTTTAAATTCCTTATTTTTTTACCTTTAATGGGTGATTTTTTCAATAAGCCTTCCTACCAATATTTTTTTAAAATTCTCTGCATTGTAATCTAAAATTTAGAATTTCTCTAGCACTCACATTCTTTGAAGCTTCTTTAATCATCTTATTGGCCTTGAAGCCTGTATAGATTTTTCCATACTCAAGCATATTTTCAGATTTGCTGAGGTCAAGGGAGAGTAAAAAGGATGCAGTATTACAACCACTTAAAATAGTGCTGGGCCCAAACCTTTGTAAGATTGACCGAATCATGAGGTGAAGCCCATGTGCAATAAATGGCAACAATGACGCATCATTCTGATACTTTGTTAAACAAAGGTTGAACAGTTTTTGCAATGGAAACTAATGACTCCACCTTTGCCACCAATAATTCATCTTGGCTGCATGCTTTTAGATGTTCAAACGATTTTGTGTGCAGGGTTTTCTTTATTAGATTTTGTATGAATTTTTTAACATGAGGCCACACCTTTAAAGCTCTCTCCGCGACAGGTATATTTTCAACCCAGCGATGAGAGCATTGGTCTAATGGAAAATCTGTGCACCCAGTTACTGTAATGAAGTCTTCTCGTCTGGCAGGTGTTTCTTTGAACAGCCAAGACATTGATGAGAAAAAATAAATTTAAAGCCTGCAGAAACAGAAATTTTAATTTTCGCACCTGACGATGGGTCGACCTGAATTGATAGCCATCCTCTCCTTGCCAAAATATCAGTGGGTATTGGAGTGCATCATATGATTGATGCGTTTCTGAAATGCATTGTAGGGTATCACATCTCCTCTGAATGATGATTTCACGGTGATCAGATGCATCACGTGTTATGACAATGGCAACTTCATTTGTTTGAGGGGCATTGAAACGCTTTTTGTGCTCCCCCCACTGGTCTTTTTATCAGCTCTGATAACTATTATTATTATTATAATTTTAAAAGTGGTCTTATATAGCGCGGTACCCCAGCCTAGGGCTGGGCTCACCGCGCTCTAATTAAATATTAGCAAACATAATCATGACATTAAAAAATAACAACAGCTATATAATAACAAAACAAAAACAAATGTATATTCCAACCACCCACCCCAGAACTTTTACATGTCAAGCCATGGACATCAACCAGCATCATCATTTATGGCCATTGGGGGGAATCGGTCGGGATAGTAGAGTTTAAAAATTGCCAATTTAAGAAGTTTCCTTCTTCAAAGCATTACCTGCCCAGAAGCCGAACAATTATCATTAATTTTTTTGTGCTAATGTTCCACATTTAACTAATAAGGAATCTACTTTTCTAGCAATCCTCTTTCTTCAAGGTATTCAGAATTTTTTTCAAAATTTTTTTGAATATTTTGCTTATGCTTGCTTGGAAAAGTCTTACATGGGCTCAAATATCTATTGATGATAGTTTTTTTTTCCATTTCGTGGTGCATGAAACAATGAAACTGCCTTCTCTTCCTAAAATTACTGGGGTTTTTTATTGCGTTGATTGTGCCTGTGGCGTGACACATTTTATCAGTCGGGATAGTAGAGTTTAAAGAGATGTCTTTTGAGTGCAGTTTTGAAGGCCTGTATTAATTAATCTGTAGGCATGCCTTCAAATTCTGTTTTAAATACTTTAATCAAGAGGTTGTTTTGATGCAACGTTTGTTTCAATTTCAACACAACATTCCTAACGGCAGGGATATAATCACATCTTTGATCCGCTTGCTGTTGGTCATCTCCCTTAAAGTAGATTTGCAAAAACTTGGGACTTTGATCAGGTCAAGACAGAGATCCTGCATTATGATATCCCTGACCCTGCACTTCAAAAGTTTTAATAAAACCGCCTTCTTCAATGACATTTGTGGCCCCCAAATGAAGTCATCTGGGAAATGAGTTGTATTTCCTTGTGTGCTGTAAAAAATGCTTTGAATCCAAGGTGGTCCCAGACAAGCAGGTCAGCAGGGGATCCGGTGGGGATTCCAGAGGTGGAAATGTAACGGCCTTCTCTTCCTAAAATTACTGATTGTTTTAAATTGCGTTGATTGTGCCTGTTGTGTGACACATTTTATTTCACTCTTTCCAGTCTCAGACCTAAAGCAATATTAATGCAGTAAATTCCATTTAACCTTTTCAACTGTAATACCGTTTACATGCCCATAATTCAGACGGTTGCATTCTTACTTTTTAAAATAATTTATCCTGATTATGGATGTCACTCGACCCATATCTTTGTTCCACACCTGGAACTTGATCGCAACATACTACCGACAAAACGAATCTTCTGGTGGGGAGAGCCCACCTTTTGACTTCACACCATCAAAGTGTAAAAACATTCTAACCGGTCATTTGCAGTGCACAGACAGAGTTAGAACACTTGATTAGCAGTAACAATATAGTTTCTTCCTTTTGATGTGTCTACACTCACACTTGGGGAGGGGGGTGGAAGCGGACATAGAAATTTTAAATAAGGTAAGCTCCATTAATTATAATTGATGGGGGTGGGGAAGAAAAAAAAAGGGGGGGGGGCAGGTGTTAAGATTAATTAATTTCAACAATCCTAATATTCTTCATTAATTTTTTTCAATCTTAATAATTTACTGGTATTTACTTAATTATGCATTTTTGTATTGCTTGAGGTTTATCTCTTGAAAAGTTTGAGTAAATGATATTAGCATGACAGAATAAACAATGAGATATAAAAAATGAATAAGAAAAAAGAGTTTTAATTGTCCTTTCCAAGTATTTTGAACTGTTCACCAAGACTTGAAATGTAACAATAATTGAACTTTATACAAATACAATCCTCTGTGAACTAGTTAAGTGCTAAACAAACATTTATCATTGGCAATATTACCAAAAAAAAATTGGCAGACATTCTTGTATTTCACCATTTGACCTTGTATACATAGAACATTTTAATTGTTATGCAATAAAATGACATAAACATTCTCATGTGATTCTTTCTTCTTTCATTTCAAAGCATGATTGTTATGTTCCATTCTTACCACTTTCAGATTGTGTTTCAATTGTGTAATAATGGCATGGTCATTCTATTTAAAACATATTTTATATTTTGATAATTATAAATTAAACATTTGTATCAATTTTGAATAGCATTGGCATTTGAGAACAGTTATTTGACAATGTTCCCATATATTTATACTTTCTTAATGATTTTAGTTAACGTTTTTCATTTTAAAAAAAGATGTACAAAATTAAGATAAGGAAAATGCAATATAATTCACAATTCCTAAAATTGAAAAATTCTTAAAAATTAAAAATATTGCATGTCTTCCTTGCCAAACCATAGGAAATGATCTGTTCGTGTGTGACCTTCCTCTTTGTTTTTACCAAGAGCTTTGGCTGTGACCTTGAAACCAGTCCAGTCAAGTTCAATATTGACTTCTGCCAGACATTTCCCTGAAACAATATATGGAGGTAGATGCAGCAACTCTTTACGATCTGTATACCGACCTGTCACAGCGTGAAAAGACTGGAGGGAAAAAAATGAAATAAAAAATTAAATTAACTTTTATCATTAGAGTATTATCATTGAAGCAAATTTAGGTACCTGAATAAAATTAGAGTTGTAGGTTTCTGGAATATTATTGAACACAAATCCAAATATACCAAGCAACAAAAATTGATACCTCTTCAAACACATTAATTTTATTTGAAATAGTTTTAACTAAACAGTATAAAAATTTAAATTTTGTGCTACCTGTCTGGGGTTTAGAATCAAATCTGCATGCAAGAGCACGAAATCAAAATTAATCTTTAACTTCTCAGAAGAAACAAAGTGTGAATGTTAGTCTTACTTTAAGAGCAGCGTATGTGTCCAGCAAAGCATTTGTTGTGATCCATTTATCACTGGTCTGGAATCGTGTGCTGTTGACTTCAGCATCTTGGAACTGGATTAAACCCCATCTGCAAGAGCAGTTGGATCTTAATGTAGGCCTTCCATATTATGGTTCAAATTTATTATGGTATAATTTGTACATTCTCTCATAGCATGTTTATAAAACCTTTAAATCATATAACTTTCATTATTTAATCTTTTTGGGCATTGATGGAAGTAAAAAAAAAATTTGCAATGGAAAAGAAATAAAATTTAATAATGTTATAATTTTGCAGGAAATCAATAATTTAATTCCATTTCGGTTGTAGAGTTGTTTAAAAATTGTGCTCATTATGTCTCATATTTTAGATACCAGTAAAGTAACGGTTAAATTAAATATATTTGTAACCTTTCTGGTAAGTGGACATTTATGACTTCTGGTGATTGCCAAACCCACCATTCTGTACTGGCATCAATTTGCTGAGGACAAAAAAGAACTTCCAATGAATTTAAAAAATTAAATAAAAACACGTGGTTTCCTGCAATTGTCCACTGAATAAAAGTAAATAAGACATATTGATAGCTTCACAAATAGCAACCTTTAAATTTTGCCTTGAACAGAACAGATCTGTTGTATCAGATAATTTTTTTAATAATACCTTTTCATAATATGTGCCATAGTTTTTGATGGGCCACTCTGCTCTGTAAAGATAAAATACAACAAAGTTAAGATTTAAAATAAAAAGAATTTTAAATGCCTTTATCTGATGCTCTTAAGACTACTGAAATATTTAAACTGAAATTTAACATGGAAAAAACTTGCACACTTTGTACTGGTAATTATTGCTGTGCTTGATAAAAGGATATGATGACTCAGGTTCTAAAATAATACCTCAGAAAATTAGCCCTCCACGTTTCACCTTGCTCAGGGGCTGATCTGTTGAGTGAAGCCCCAGAGCCCTGGTATAGAGCTGAGAAGGGTATGGCCATCTCTATTGTCCAGTATTCATCTACAATATATTTGCACATTGATATATGAAACAGTCATTGTAAGAGTTCTGTAGCAAGCTTCTAACCATATAAATATTAGCATGAAATGAAGGTAACACTATTAGAACATGAATAGGGAACAACTGCTCAAAAATAATTCTTGGTTTGATTATTGTAGCGCTGTTACTAACAGGCTCAGCTGATGTGTTAGGCAGAGAATAGTACCATTAAGAGTATTTCAGGGGCTTGGTGCTGTGTCAGCAATAGACTGAAGCACAGATTTAGATATATGAGTAACTGAAATCATCAGGCAAGGGTTTTGGTACCTGATTAACATTACAATGCTGTAGGTTTCTGGAATCTATAACTTTTAACTACCTGTTTCTTCTTTTTTTTATATTGGGCAGAAATTTCAGTTAAGGTAAGCTACATGGGCAGATCAAATATTTGTACAAAGGGAGAAGTTTCATATCAGTTAAGGTAAACTACATGGGATGATCAATTATTTGTACAAAGGAACTAATAAAATGAAAAAATTTAGAATAGTCGATTAGCTGCTCTATATTTCTTAGCTATAATCTATTGGGGACACATGAAAAGCATTCAATAACGCACATTAGATGTGTACCAAAGCTAAAATTAAAATGTAGATATGTGCAACACATTGTTCAACTGAAATAGCCTTATTTGCACGAGTCAAGTAATGTTAATTTGAATATCATATAAAAATTGAAGTTATTAAATAAGTCATTAAGTGATAAATTTAATTTTATGAGACACATCATAACACATATATTTTTTATAGCATAACACTAAAATTAACACAAAACATTGGCTGATCTACTCGGTTAATTTTTGTCCTTAAATGCTGTTTAAATACTCTTTTAAACTTACCGTTAAATGACTTTTACTTTTATGTAACACTTTAGTAACAGAAAGGAAATAAATATAATAATTGTAAAGAACAAATTTGAAAGAAAATCAATTTCATAAAGATGTCTGTTGCTGTTAATAGTAAAAAAAAAAATCATTTTACTAAGTCCTGTGAAAATTACCTTTCCTTTTAGGATTATTGATTGTACCCTGTACATGAATTTCTGTCATGATGTCACTTTCCCAGAATGTAAGAGGTTCTCCGCTGTCAACATAGGCCTCATGACATATTTAAAATAAAATTATTGACCCAATCTGTTTCACAGTCTTCTTTCATAATACTATAAATAGATTATTATTAAATCATTCTGAAATCAATGGTATCAATTAATTTATAAATTACAAAAATCAACTAAAATAAAGATTGAATTTTTTAAAGCACATGTGAAATATAATAATAATAATAATATTTCATCTTTTTTTATATTTTATTTGTATAACACACAAACGGTCGAATTATTAATTATGACTTCTGTACTAAAATGACACCTACCTTTGTCATCATTAGATCTGAAACAGTCCCTTTGGCATTTATTGTGATTTCTTTATAGCTAAAATAATAGTTTTGAAAAAAAGTTTCATTATCTGCCCTTGTCACAAAAAAGTACTGACGTAATACATATTCATATTAACAAAACGTTAATAACTAGGCTTTCCTTTTCTTTTATTAGAAATTTAAATATTACCTAAATTTACCAAAATAAATACTATTTCTTAGATTGGTTCTATAGATTATTTATGTCACTTTAAAGCGGGACATTTTTTTTTTTTTTTTACATACCATAATTTTTTTAAGAATATTAATTACAAATCAATGAACTGGGGGCGTATGAAGGGGGAGGGGGAGGTTCTACCGTGTCTTAAATATTCAGATCATCAAAACTATCGACCGTTTAAATAATATTTCTTAGATTGGTTCTATAGATTATTTATGTCACTTTAAAGCGGGACATTTTTTTTTTTTTTTTACATACCATAATTATTTTAAGAATATTAATTACAAATCAATGAACTGGGGGCGTATGAAGGGGGAGGAGGAGGTTCTACCGTGTCTTAAATATTCAGATCATCAAATCTATCGACCGTTTCAATATTTGATTGAGGTATTTCACTAATTCTAATGGGTGACTCTATGCCTACTATTCACTAAGCCGTTTAGGATGCTGTGAAATAAAAATTATGATTAAACAAAAAATAGGCCTTTAGTTTTACATTATCGTTGAACTTATTGTTCTCGGGTGAGGGGGGGGGGCGGATCATCACACAGGCCCCCAAACCACCGGAGGCGGCAAAATTTGTTAAAATAAAAAACAACACATTTCTGAACTTTTCCCATAATTTTCCCGAGGGCGACAATGGCCTATTTCCCCCCAACCTAAAAATATCTATCGCCGGCCCTGGGGGGGGGGGGGGGGGCGCGGCACTTGAACCTGAAATGTGATAGAAACTCTGAACACAGTAACTGCAGAATGCTACGCCTACACTTTCATCGCCTCTAAAATATGAACTAATTATCTTGTGTTTATTAATTCAAACTTACTTCACATTGCTCTGTCTTGTGTCCATCAGAATCTAAAAACGACACAATTTTTAAAAATGACTTTAAAATTTAAAAATATATATATATATTTACGGTATTCATGTATAAGAGAGAACTGTTTTAAATTATTTTGAATTTTTTTTTTACTTAACAAAGACAAATGTGGCTCTGACGGCTTATTTCTGTTGTTGTTGTTTTTTCTTCTTTTTTACAAGCTCGATAATGCAAATTTTTATTTTTACAAGTAGTTCGCCTTAAATAATTCTTAGCTGTTTTGTTTTACGAATCCAATGTGTTTTATATACGGTATATTTATTAAATAGGTAGATTTATTCACAAAAGAAAATCATCAAATTTAATTTTTCAGAAAAAGAGCGTGAAATACATTTCTCAATAGGTCCAAACGACAGATTCGTCATTCTAAAAATTACCCGTACGCAAGAAGAGTTTTGTTCCAATCAAACGCTAATTATTTTATTTTAAGAATAATTTTACAGATTATTAAGGATTGATCACCAACAATTACAATTACAAGCTTCTCCTACTCAATATTTGCCTATGTATTGCAGTATTACATTTCCGGTTGTTGTTTTGTTTTTGTTTTGCAAACCTTCTACAATCCCATTTCCATCACGGATAATGCAGTGTTATTTCTTAAGCTTGCTATATCTTCTCAGAATTGTGGTTACGTACACATTTACATAAACAGATTTAAAGAAAGTTAAATTAAAATATTAAAAAAACAAACAAACTATGAAATTTTAAAACAAAAAGTGATGTGGTAAGTGATGAGAGAGGATAGTCTAAAGAAATGCTGCTTCAGAAAATGTTTAGGCACTATTTTAATACCGGGTACTAGTAGGCTACTGAGAAAATTTAAATACATACGCACAGAGAAAGAAAACGTAAATATAATCATAAATGCCCGAATAAGGAGTTAATTTTTTAGCTTACATATAAATATTACGATTATCATCTACAGTTTATAACATTCAATCCCATAGTCTAAGTATGATATATTAACCAGAGCCGGTCTTAGGATTTTGGGGGCCCTAGGCATGGAACGTAGGTAGGGGCCTCGGAAGGGGGTGGTCAGGGGAGGAGCTCCCCCGGAGTTGAGGAGAAAACACCACCCACCACTGCGGCACCTCCATTCTGCCTCCGTCACTGTTTCTTCATTGTTTCCATGTTGATAATTACGCCGCTAGAGAAAATGTGTGCTTCTGATATATTATATATGGACTTGCGAGTTTTAAGCTAAAAAAAAAGTGCCAGGTGGGGTCCCCTTGAGGCCTAGGCGGTCGCCTAGTTTTCCTATGCCTAAGAACGGCTCTGATACACCCCAGAGGCCACACGCTGATGCAAAACGTAAATACAAGCCTCCCACGCAGACAGGAAGATTGGAACTGCGTGAGCGACAGTGCTCCTCACTACTGTGTGCGAGCTCCTTCAGAGTACACTATTCCACCCATCATTTTTAAATTGCCCCCCCCCCCAATGAGATGAATGAAGATGACCACTGACGTTGTAAATTATTGATCATAATATTAAATACTCTGTAAAAGTATTGAAGGAAAGAAAAATCGTTACAGTTTATGCTATAAATAAATTTTGAGTGAAAATAGGGGGTGCTGCAGTTCCACTGGTCCCGATCATTTGGTCATTTTTCTCACAGCACTACAAATAACCAAAACCACAAAGTGTGACTGTTATTTTAAAAAAAAATAAATATTTTAACTAGATCTAACAATTTCAGGAATCTGCAACCCTGCAGCTAACAACTTAGTGCTCTTTGTTGAGAGCAACATTGCGCTCTCGTGGTTTTCCACCAGGAATCCCTCACTGATCTGGTATGTAAACATTGTCCTTTGAACAACCACGACCAGCTTAGCCGGTTTAAAGGCTATATAATACAAGGTCTAACGTCTGACATCTTTGTTCAGCTGAAAGTAGTAGTGCGTTGTAATGTGCTGGACTTTCGACCAAATTAGTTGCTAATTAATTGTTTTCTTATGTAAGTTTGATTCATGGCTTTCAACCAGGTGACGAGAGTTCCATCGATTCGCGCCATGGGTAGCCTACATTTTTGTGTCCCAGTAATCCTGCACTGGTGGTGGCAGCTATAGTGGTTTACACCTGATTGTGGTTTAAATTGGAGTAAATAAATAAATATACGATTTAAAAACAATGATGGAGAGGTCTAAAAAATATTTGTATTGTTCAAGAAACTAACTCCAAGAACGCGCCCAGATGATAAAAAAAAAAAAAAGCCTTCAGCCTCGTCCTGAACGAAATATCCTCGAACACATCTGTGTCATATGTAACTATATCGCCACGTGATCCACGTCGTCACACACTTCCCGCCATGACAGATTATTGCGCACATTGAGAGGACGAGCATGATCGTCTGCTGAGGATTTTGTCGCCGGTTGTCAATTTTGTTCAGAGCATATAAACAGACTCAAGACACTTGTAGTTTTGGAGCCTAATAAGTAATAGTTTTGTCTTTCTTTTGGTTGCGTAACCTTCTCATTGCATTCCTTCCTATTGTGATTATTCTTTGTTGTTGTAATAATGAATTAATGAGTACATCGATCACCGGGGCATTTTCATAACTTTTTTGGTTTTCAATTTGATTACTGTTAAATGCTTTACAAATTTACGTTTTTTCTTGGAGATTTTTAAATTTGCATTACTGTATAATCAATATTCTTGGGGTTATTTCTGACGACTGTGACTTTTTAATCAAGTGGTACAAAGTAGGCTAGACATGAGTCGATTGCTTGAAAAAGTGATATCTAAAAAATGAAAGATGGTGAACAGTTCAAGTGCACAGTTTTGCTAAACTGGAAATTGGAATGTCTTTGTTTTAGGTACTAGACGATTATGGGAATGTGTTTGTTGTAAGTAATAGACGCCTATGGGAATGTGTTTGTTGTAAGTAATAGACGCCTATGGGAATGTGTTTGTTGTAAGTAATAGACGCCTATGGGAATGTGTTTGTTGTAAGTACTGGATGACAATGGGAATATGTCTGTTGTAAGTACTAGACAACTCTGGGAATGTTTTTGTTGCCAGCAGTAGATGACTATGGGAATGTGTTTGTTGTAAGTATTAGACGACTGTGGGAATGTGCTTGTTGCCTGTAATGGACGACTATGGGAATGTGCTTGTTGCCTGTACGAGACGACAATGGGAATGTGCTTGTTGCCTACACAAAACGTCTATGGGAATTTCTTGTTGCCTGTACAAGACAACTATGGGAAGGTGCTTGGTGCCTGTACAAGACGACAATGGGAATGTGCTTGTTGCCTACACAAAACGACTATGGGAATTTCTTGTTGCCTGTACAAGACAACTATGGGAAGGTGCTTGTTGCATGTACTGGACGACTATGGGGAATGTGCTGAGGTTCAGATAATATCACAAACGTAGCCGTAAAACACGCCCTAGTAGAACACATATACTGTTCTGAGATTATTTAGCTGCGCCCTAATGGTGATTGGAGATAATGAGCGACACAACGTGTGTCCTCAGTCTGCTTTCTGTGGTATTCCTTGGCAAAGTCACCCATTTCACGGTCATATAAACCAGTAAACAAACAGGAATTGTGCTTACCTGAAAGGAATTATCTTGATACACTGAAAGGGAGAAGGGACAAAATAATACACAATTACAATATGGTACATTTGCAATTTTTGGTTGGGAATATTTCTAATTTACAATAGCATTTATATAGGATCATCATATTTTAATATACGTGGCATACATTACTGGTGACATACATTACTAATGGCATACATTACTGGTGGCATACATTTCTGGATTACTGGTGGCATACATTACTGGTGGCATACATTGCTGGTGGCATACATTGCTGGTGGCATACATTGCTGGTGGCATACATTGCTGGTGGCATACATTGCTGGTGGCATACATTGCTGGTGGCATACATTGCTGGTGGCATACATTGCTGGTGGCATACATTACTGGTGGCATTCATTACTGGTGGCATACATTGCTGGTGGCATACATTACTGGTGCCATACATTGCTTGTGGCATACATTGCTGGTGGCATACATTGCTGGTGGCATACATTACTGGTGGCATACATTGCTGGTGGCATACATTGCTGGTGGCATACATTACTGGTGGCATGCATTAATGGGAAGAATGAAACAATCCATTTCAGGACAATCGTTGAAAAAATAGGTAGGCCTATAGAAGTTGTTTGAACGGGAAAAGATAAGACCTAAGTATTAATTTAATTCAAAACGCCTTGATCAAATGTAGGTTTTACACCTTTTTTTAGGCATTTAAATGAATATTATAGGAGATAAATGTAACAAATGATACAGCACAGAGCATGTTCGGGCTGCCACCACCTAATCTTTTCCACTAGGACAAATCCATTGCCTTTTATCTCCATGCATGGTACTAGAGCTGATGTAGAGACGTATCCAAATCATCTATCCAAACCAGACTTTTTCTGCCTAAGACCCATATTCAACTTGGTTTATATCAATGTATCACCATCAATTCTCTGTAATCTGGGACCACAGGTGTCCCGTCCAGAGAAATCTTTTTCTTTTAGATTAAAACTGCCGCCACGAACACTGGGTCATCGTAAAGCTAATAGAATTCTCTAACCCATGTCCCGTTATCATACTTTTAAAAAAAATTCCACACAATGAGTCCAGTGAATCGACTCACACCATGAGGAGGAAGCTGAAGAAATTTGCTTGTTCCTCTTGCAGTGGGACGAAAAATTAGATAAATCAAAGCAAGAACGTGCAGTACATAGTAAAAATCCTGTTGAATACGTCACATGTGGGACAGTGTTGTTCAGAATGTGTGGGACAGTGTTGTTCAGAATGTGTGGGACAGTGTTGTTCAGAATGTGTGGGACAGTGTTGTTCAGAATGTGTGGGACAGTGTTGTTCAGAATGTGTGGGACAGTTGTTCAGAATGCTGCAGGAATCATTTGAAACTGATCGTGGGAACCCCCACTAAAGCTAGCAGAAATGATGTGACATAAAACATACCCGTTCCATCATGCAATGTGACATAAAACATACCTGTTCCATCATGCAATGTGACATAAAACATACCTGTTCCATCATGCAATGTGACATAAAACATACCTGTTCCATCATGCAATGTGACATAAAACATACCTGTTCCATCATGCAATGTGACATAAAACATACCCGTTCCATCATGCAATGTGACATAGAACATACCCGTTCCATCATGCAATGTGACATAAAACATACCTGTTCCATCATGCAATGTGACATAAAACATACCTGTTCCATCATGAAATGTGACATAAAACATACCTGTTCCATCATGCAATGTGACATAAAACATACCTGTTCCATCGTGCAGTGTGACATTGGCCCATACATCCGGCTCCTCCAGGTACACGCCAATGAATAAAAAGTTGTCATCGTAGCGCATCTTCACTTTGGTCTCCAGGCGCGGGGCGGGGAACCCTCTACCCTGAATGTCTGCACGAGGCAACACAACAAAACAAAGGCGCCATTTTTATTTGTTGTTACCGTATATACTCGGGTATAGATAGCTCCATGAAATATGTAACGTATAATAATATATACTCGCGTATAGGTAGCTCCATGAAATATGTAACGTATAATAATATATACTCGGGTATAGGTAGCTCCATGAAATATGTAACGTATAATAATATATACTCGCGTATAGGTAGCTCCATGAAATATGTGTCGCATAATAATATACTCGCGTATAGGAAGCTTCAGGGAATATGTACCGTATATACTCGCGTATGGGTAGCTCCAGGGAATATGTACCGTATATACTCACGTATAGGTAGCTCTAGGGAATATGTCGCACCTTTAGTTTTGGTTTGTCAAAGCGGTTGACCAGCAGATGTTGCACCCTTATTTTGGGGCGTTACATGACACATTTTAACGTAAATATAACGAATATTTTTTGAACAATCATGAACATTTTTTTTCCATAACTACTTGAAAACTGAAACACGATCCTCAATAAACATTCAAAAAATCGGAAATCTCTTTGCTTGGGCGTAAGTGGGAGCAAGTGACAAAATGATTCTACGATTTTTTGTATAATAAATGAATACCCCAGACAGAAAAATAGTAAATGAAATTGATGTCGCGTGAATTGGTCGTAACCCTGTTTTGTATCGAATTTTTTGGTTAATAAAGTGCGCCATATAAGCGAGTAAATACGGTATTTCAAATAATAAACAATTGATCTGCAGTAAATTATAATCTATTGGTTGTCACCCCTTTTTCCTGAACCAATATTACTTTAATGAGTGGTTAAAAAAAGTGTAGAGGCATTTTCATAACTCCGATCTTGTGCTCCAGCCATAGGGAGACTATTTCAAGGCATTGAACTAACCTACAAATGAGTCAGTCCATCCCACGCTTTTCCACGCCTTCTCATCCAGTCTTCCATCCAAGTCAATGGCTTCTCCATTGAGTTTGTACACGACGTATGTTCGAGGATATGGGAGGTCACAGGTCAGTGCCCGGCATGCTTCAACATCAGTCTCTATTAAGTGCCTGGACCGAGAGAACGAATTGAACAATTTACAAAAAAAAATAACACGGTGAAATTTAAATAGGTGAGATTGGAGAACATTTGCTAAGCAACAAACAATGTCGAAATGGTTTTAGTTCAGTATTAAATATATATTTTCAGGAAAATATAATGAAAATTGCACTTATAAAAAAAATGGCTACGAATCTATTTATTTTTTCAATTTTTACATTACACCACCCCCCCCCCCCCACACCAAAAAATGCCATTTAAATTTAAAGGGGAATGAAAAACTATTGACCACACTAAATATCAAGAAAACAAAATACGGTATATAAAAAAAAAAGGAACAAACATTTCGCCGAACCTATCTCATATTATACTAAATAGGAAAAAACAACACAACATTAACTATACCTTACAATTATTCAATATAATAACATTGAAAGTTGAACTCAACGAATATTGAAATTGCTACCATTCACTAAACTCACCAAACTCGCCAAACTCACCAAACTCACCAAACTCGCCAAACTCGCCAAACTCGCCAAACTCACCAAACTCACCAAACTCACCAAACTCACCAAACTCACTCAACTTACTTGCTAATCACCGGATCCTCCCGCGCCAATTGCCCACAATCCCTCAGCATTTCAAGTGCGGCCATTTTGTCATCGCTCGCGCCATCCACGTCACCGACCCAGCCTTCTAACACCTTGTGTTCTTTGGCAGTCTCGGGGAAGGGGCGTAGAAGGTACCCGACGACAAGCCCCACACCGAGGGCCAGCAACGCAATGATGACCGTCACCACCAAGGAAGAGGGAGATTTGCTCACCATGCTCGCTTTGAAGAGTTACGATGACCTTAAATGGATAAAGATGGTAGTGTGAAAATGTTAGTGGCCAAAACTGTTTGGATACAAATTGTGTGGAGCTCCTAAAACTTTTGGAAATTTCTTAGAGGGGTATGACAATGTTGTTTTAGTGCATATAACTATAACAGAGAAACGGAAATCCTCAAATAGAATTGATCCCATTCACGCAAATGCAAACTCATCCAATGAGGGATAGAATACTCCTGCGTCCAGATCATCTGCTCGGAGAGTGAAGCTGATACATTACACCGGTTCCATATATATATATATATATATATATATATATATATAAATATATATAATATTAACACAATGAAACGAGCTCTATAATTTTTTAGTCCACCACTGCCTCTGGCGAAAAAATTGTATAAATCTATAAATCTCTATACAAGCAGCTCGCTGTTCCCAGAGGCTGTTTGCTGTCTGTTTTCATTAGTTATGCGTAAATCCTACTCTCCATATGCAGTTTTGGCTGAGACGATGTGATGCTATATTATTATGTTAACGGCCATTATCACGCTTGAAAAGCATTGCATCGAAAATGTACGTTAAATTATAACAATTCGCCACAAATGTAAAATAAAGTTGAAAAAGTGCTTATAGTAAGCATTAGAGAATGACATGAAAAACATGGACCCAATTTTAATTTTATGCTTTGTTAAATAAAATACTAGTTACAGCTCGCCAAACATGGGCGACAGCAATGCGTGAACTTTCCATCTACTAAAGTTACTTGACAAAACATGAACTCAAGTAACACACATTTAAGAATTCCTAATTTTTGCTACACCCCTTCCCACCATGATACGTCACTAAACTCTTTCTATTTCACGCCCATAAACTCTATTCAATATTCTAATGTCTCAACCACTTTTAAACCGAATATTTATTGCACCACATTTAACTGAGACGATTTCATTTTTCGAAAATAAAATAAAACATTACGCGCTCAACACATAGGCTATTATTAAAAAAAAATCATTTAGGGTAGTTATCGGGAATTGTATTTTGCGCGCTATCCAGAAATGGAAGCAGTCACACCACAAGCAAAATATAGATAAAACGAGTCACACCAGAAGCGTAATAATCAGTAATATATACAAGAGATACTGGAGTTGTCCTCTTTGTGTTACTTATAGTTATAGCGAATGTTCTTTATGATATGCTACCCTCAAAACATTTTCTCTACGTCTGCTTAAAAGTGGGGATTCCCCTAATTAAGAAAATTAAGTTTCTATTAACAAAGAAGTTGTATTAAATGGCGGGAATATGTGAAAATTTTGACACTCGTATGGCTGCTAGGGAGTTATTTAAATGTCTCAGACTACCTTCAAACGCAAGAAGAAAGTGTCCCACTGATGATGTGGTTCGACTGTACCGTAACGTTAACAAAGGGAATCTTGTACGTTTTATGAGCATCAAAAAGAACTTAATTTTTGTGTGTGATCTCTTTCGCACCTGCGATGCAACCTTTCAGATTATAATACTGACTAAAATCTTAAATATCTCATTCTGCATCCATCCGCAATATTTCATTTCTCTCAGTCAGGTATTTTAGAAGCACCACTTGTAAGTTGCTTGTTATAAGAAAACGAAAACTTGGCACAGGAAAGCAGAGGAAACAATCCAAGTATCCACACATCATGCCGAAATAACAAAACTTTAAAAAAAAAAAAAAGAAGAATCTTCACCGATTTGACACAAAACGACTGTGGTATCCAGTATCGGTCCACCTGCTGTAGGGTTTGTTTCACTGTACGTATCAGTCCACGTGCTGTAGGGTTTGTTTCACTGTACGTATCAGTCCACGTGCTGTACGGTTTGTTTCACTGTACGTTTTCAGTAAACATCGTCCTCGTTGTGACTCGACTGGCTGGCTAAGACTGGCCAATCTCTATTTGTACACCTCGTACAGTGTAGTAAGCGTTTCCCCAACCCACCCCCCCCCTTAAAAAATACTTTCCCCGTCTTTCTTTCCACCACTGAGAGCCCCCCTCCCTTAAACATGTTTGTTCAGATGAACACTTGCTTCTTCTTGGGGGAAAGATGACTTAAAAAATACTTTCCCCGTCTTTCTTTCCACCACTGAGAGCCCCCCTCCCTTAAACATGTTTGTTCAGATGAACACTTGCTTCTTCTTGGGGGAAAGATGCAAAATTGTAGTTGAAAAATGTTTTTTTTTTTTTTTTCAGGGGGTTGGGAGAGTAGTAGGCGGCAAGTGATAATAGGATTATACGACGGGAGACTAGTGTAGGGAAAGTTGAATTGGGAAATAAGCAAAGTAGTTACAACTCGAGCAGATCAGCTCCCTCATTGGGCCCCGTGGCTTTGAGGCCCCCCTCCCCCAACCATCATCCATTGGACATTAATGTGCGAGAGACTGGGGCCATTAACTTACTGCGATGCCATACTATGGATTGCTTATTCTATTAAATACTTAAGTAACATTCTTCTACAATCTGCTGCAAAAATTAATGCAGGAGCCAACTAACTTTTAAACCCCGCAGGAGTCAACTGAATTTCTAATCCGAGTTTTCACCAAATTTTTAACTTTTTTTTCTCGTTAAGATGTATTTTTTTAAAATCTTGAAATGAAATTGTCCTGAGATGTCAAACAAGTGAATACGTGACAAGTGCAAAACTGAAGCAAGAATCTCCTAGGTAACATTTTAAAAAAGGTAGTTGGGATATAATGTTTAGTACACCCAGTGGTGTCATTAGTGGATTGCACCGAGTGTCACTCTCACAAAGGGGGAAGTGGGGTGTGACATCAAGTGAAAAATTCAAATTTGACTGAGTTCGCTCGAGTCGGCTTCATAAAAGTACCCAGGTAAAAACAAGTAGGCTTACGGGATGCCAGCAGAGCTGGGTGCCACCAGAGAAGGATGCCACCAGAGCAAGCTGACTCGGAGAATTTAAATGAGGAAGTCTGGAGGAGGTGCAAAAAAATTGCCAGGAAAGCAATCAAAGAGACGCCGGACTCACTTTGCAACCAGACGACAAGATGGCGATGATTTGATTGATCGTTTTCATTCTGAGCTCCAGATCAGATGATGAGCCATCAAGGAAGTAGCAGATATGTTTGAAGCTGTTCAATCCTAAGAATCTACTATTGGTGACGGAAGAAAGGCGACTTGTGTCCATTCAAAAACTGACCACCTTCTATGATTGGTTATCTGAAAGTTAAAATTTAATTGAAATACCCGGTACCAAAGTTGAAAAGATTCATGAAAGCAGAAATTATGATTCCTGGCGCAGCCAAGGATTGATCCATATTATAATTTTTGTAACACCGGTACATAGCTAAAGAATGAGACTACCTAGAATATCTTTCAATCCTCTCATTTAGCTTATAATTATTATTTCTCACGATCTTTGTGTTTGTGGCTTCTTGTGAGTTGCTTTAAAAAAATAATAATAATTATCACTTGCGATCTATTATGGAAAAGTCCAGACTTTCTGGTTTTGCGATTTTATCATTTGAAACTGACTAGATGAAGAATGTTGATTTTGATGAAGCGATTGGCATGTTTGCATCTTTAAATTGATGACAAGAAAGTAAAAGTTTTTACCTGTCAAGTTTTTCAGTACATAGTAACTCTGCTGCATTTTTCAAACGTCGTTTCCTCAAATTCTAAGTTTTCTTCTTACCCACTAAATTTACAAACTACAGCAGAAGTGGTTCTGTATCTGGGTAAGAATTACTCAGTGCGGAGCTGGAGGGGGGGGGGGGTCAGGTCGAGGGGG